TAAAATGGGCCTGGGTTACCACCCATTTCACACTAACTTTGTGTGACTTTATCATATGTAAAGCATATGACACAGTATCTGTGACGAAAAAAACATTCAATAAATTTTCACTAATAGTATTTATTATTTTGTCTTACCGCAATTGAGAATTTCCTTGTTATCTCTTTTTCCATTTCCTTACCCCCTCCTATGTACACAGTCCCATTTCTATCTCCATTTGAAATATACTAAATGAAGGTAAGAATATAATCTATCTCATTATGTATAGTAAGGCAAAAAAAATGATGTCAGAAAATCTGTTCAAAGATAAAGGATATTATATGAAAGTATTAATAACCAGTCACCAATGGCTTAGTTATCCCCCAACAGCAATTTATATGCCTATTGTCATTTACATACCAATTTTGGTATATATATCACTTAATTAAAACACTGGACTTTATTCATGTATGCTAAGTGTTCATTATCTGTGATTTATGTAATATGTTATATTCACAGTGCACATGAATGGCATAGAGTGCAATTTCTCAGGTGGTATCATAACTCAATATATACTAATTGTTTAGAGTACTGGTTGAGAAGTATCTCAAGGCAAGATCTGGGCTTATTTGAAAGAATGTCATGGTCCATAAGTGCTATCTGGTCTGACCTCTGGAAGACAAGTAGCCCCTCATGCATGGAAAATTGCAATCGTATGTTAGAGGGGATACTAGCTATGAGGAATGGCTAAGGATACAAATATTAGAAACATGAGTATATTTTTAATAGGTATCCTACATGAATATTTGCCTTTTCCCTGAGTAACTTAAATCCAAAATGTGTAACTTACACTATCGGAAATTACCTTATTTTTAAATTAAATCTAACATAACGGTTATTTTTAAAGAGAAAGTTGATCTCAGGGGGTAAAGAAATTAAATGCTATTTCAAACCTTAAGGAATATACAGAATTTTGGTATGTTACGATTTTAGTATCCTCAATACCTAAAATTTTAGATTCCATTAGATATTTTGAAATCATGAACATAGGGGACATTGTAAATTTTGCAAAATGATTTGACACCTCTTAAGGTATTCTTCAGTTTTGTTTGGGAAGTAAGTTCTTACAGCAAGCACCAAGAAAAAGTCAAGATGTACTTTTTGTTAGAATATCAGCATGGTTTGGGCATCTAAGCAGTACACAAGATTACTACTCCATAGAACTCACCTAAGATTGTAGCACAGAGTGATGTGCTCATGGTAGATCTATAATTTATCATTTTCCAGAAAAAGTGGGTACTAATATTTCATTCATTTTTCTCAGGCCTTAAGTCCAAGCGCGTAACTGCAGAGCTCAAGCAGACAGAGCACATGTAACTGAACTCAACAAGTTTATCATTTCCTGGTCACTGGATTAATAGCTTTAAGCATAGGCTTGGAGAAATGTGGGAGCCAAGCACACCTCCACCCTTTGAGTTCTGAGTTTTATTTTAGGGAGAATTAGTTCTCTTACCCTAGAGAAAATGACCTCTAGTTTGATAACTTCTCAGTGACAAAATATGTAGTAATTTTAATTTCTAATGCTAAACCCCATGAGCTACAGGATTTTGTATGTATTCCAAGTTCCTGGCACATAGAATGCACTTCATAAATATGTTCTATTCAAAGGAAAACTAATAAAACATACACTGAATATATTGAACCACAGTTTGTAAGTTTCCTCTCTTAAAGAGAAAATATTTATTTGTATAATATAAAGTGATTTATTTACATGTTTGCCATTTTGGGGGGCTGGAACCCAGTAGGGTTGTAAATGCTTAACTTTAACTTGTGGATTTTGAAGCTGCATTGCCACCTTGTGGCTACTCATCTAAAGATAACCTTTTCTCCAAAACAAAAAGCAAATGCTTTGTTTTGCGATCTATGGTGCAAGAAAACCTCTTGTGCACACACCCCGGGAACACACATGTGTGTATACACACACACACACACACACACACACACACACACACTCACACACACGCACACCTCAAAGAACCAGAAAGTAGTGGTTTCTGTTTGGAGACCTGGGAAGGGGGTTTCTAAGAATGATCTTTTAATGCAAAGAATCTCTTTATGACAAAATCATCTAAGAGCCTATCTATTATTTTCAAATACATGATAGTAATATAGTAAAAGTAGTGACATTTACTATAATATCATAATTTCAATAATTAAGTACAAAAACATCCTATTTACCATCAAGAATCAAATATTTTTCTTCTTACTGGGTCAAGAACTTGTTTACATGATAGTATGTATCATTTCTAATGGAATAGGGAAGTAAAGAAAACATACATAGTAAAACCAAATTTTCTTAGTTGACTAAGACTAGAAGTTTCCAAAGCAGCTTGTTTAAAAATCTTAGTATATGGTCAACATTATCCATTAAGAGTTATTTCTAGGGAACAGAACTGCGCATTTAATAGAGATCAGAATGTAGGAGATACTGCATAAAAAAATACTTTTAAAATAGTACTGTGATTTTTTATTTTGGAGAGACAATTTAAAAGGCACTAATATTTTAATGTTCTCCTTCGCAGGTAATGTATACTTTAATAATCTCTTCAACTTTGTTTTAAAGTCACATATTGCGTAGGATTGATTCAATTAATTTGGGAATAGAGCTTACTAACAGAAAACCCATGTCTACAGCTATTCTGATGCTAGGAAAGAGGTAAAGGCAATTTTCCAGGTAACCTTTCACTCAGATCATGTCTGTATTCAATGATTTTGTATGCAGATTAACCCTGCAGTCTCACATGCTAGGAAGATCAGGTAATTGCAAAATAATGATTTTAATCAAGAAAACGAATCTTAGATTCATTTATGTTCATTCTCATTCTACTACAGACTACGGTTTACAGAGCCTTTTTTTTTTCTTTATATATAATTAACATTCATTGTGGAGAAACTGGAAAACAAAGACAAACAGAATTAATTTACCCGTAATCACACCACCCAGTGATGACCACTGTTAAACGTTTTGGTCTATCATCCAATTTTTTTTTTTTTAAACTTGTAGGCCTTGGTAGATATCCTCTTAACTCTTAAGAGGATATCTAGAAGAGTGATTCAAAAAGCACAGTCCCCTCCCCTTGGTATGACAAAGGGACCCAGGAGCTAAAAACCAAATCTCAAGCAACTTGAGCCACAAATATAGAAAGTAATATTGTACACCAAACTGAAAAAAATACCATGAGTCCCTACTGATAAAAAATAATGTTTGAATAGATAGAGGAGAAATTACAAATCCCCCAAATGGGAGAATTCCAAATAATTTCTGTAGATACTCTCTACCTCTTAAGTGCGAGCTGCACATAATGACTTTCCTCCAAAGAGCATAATCTAGAAAGTGGGGAGTGGGGACTTCCTGGTGCAGAAGAACCCTGACAAACGCAACCTCAGCCAGGTGATCAAGGTGCATATGAGTCATAAAACATGTTGATCATATGTACCCTTGATACGATGTATTGAGAAGGGCATTTTACTTCTGTTGTCTCTCTTGAAATATTTCAGAATTTTAGTCTAACCATTAAAAAAAAAAAAAAAACATCAGACAAACCCAAATGAAAGGACAGAAAAGGCCATTAAGTTCAAAACTAAGGAAATCTAAAGAACGAATGGACTTTAATAACATACCAATATTTGTTCATCAGCTGTGACAAATTTACCCTAATAGTGTAAGATAATGTAATAACAGGAAATTAGGTGCATAATATATGGGAATGCTCTGTTCTTCACAAGTTTTCTGAAGATCTGAAACCATTCTAAAACAAAAAGTTTATCAGAAAAGATAAAGAAAAGCAAAAGGAAGTGTGATCCCCAGAGTAGCAGCAAGAGCAGCATCAGGGATCTTGTGAAACATTCAGATTATCAAGCCAGCTGGCCACCCAAGAGCTCTGATTTCAGGTGCTTCTCATTTTAGCTAAGACCATGTTACTTTTTCTTCAATTCCCAGGTGATGAAGAATCAGATTAGGCCTCTTGGTAGCATGTGATTATCCACTTGTCACATTTTATAGAAGCATACATGCCTCCCTGTCTTCTCAGTCTTCTCCGATCCCGATCTCCAACACCCCTTTCAGACCTCGCTGTGATCATGTCTTCCAAACCACCTCCAGCACACACACCTTCTAGCTTTCCTGTCCCTACCTACATAACCTGTGCCAATTTGCATGTTTCCAGAGACCATAATCCCAGTGTTGAATTCTCTGGAGACAGAGGTGACCTTGGGCAAATTCTGTAATCCTGCCGTACTTGAGTTTCTTCATCTGTGATTCGAGGATAGAAGAATATCTTCCTTATGAGGTTTTTTTTTTTTTTTTTGTGAGGGTTAGCAGTTAATACTCCATAGATGTTAGGAGGAACATCTAGCACTTAATGAGGACCCAATAACTGTGACATGGAGCTAGCATTGGCAGTGGATGGCTTGCCTTACAAGTGTCTTTTCAGTTCTCCCAAAGCAACAGGTTTGGGTATGCAAAATAGTGGCTCAATAAAGATTGAGTGAATTGAATAGGTGAATTGAGTCCATTAAAATACTACTTCAAATACAGTGACCCTGCCACTAAGACCAGTCTTTTAAGGCACACTGACTTTGAGCTGGGATGTTGGAAATATTTTGTGTTTATATAATACTACTAGGATAGAGCTAGAGAATTGGTTGGAGAATATATATGACCTGAGAGTGAATTCATCTTACTTCAAGCTTCACCCCCTATGAATAACACCATTTTAATTTTTATCTAAGATTATTCTCCTTCCTGAGATCCTTAGAATTTCCATTAGCCTAACAGACAAGATTAGATAGAAAAGAAATCAGCACCCCAGGGACTGTTCTAGCAGCAGGTGAGTAAGTGAGTATGTTTGCATAATGGGTTTAGATTTCGCTTATTTGCTCTTTGGAACAGGTTAAATAGAAATTCAACAATTTGCGTGCCATAAATAGACAAGCCCTGAGTGTTCTGGTTTGTTTTCCAGATGGGAATTAATGTGGTGGACTCCGCAGTATCAGGATTAGGTGGTTGTCCGTATGCAAAAGGTGCCTCTGGGAATGTAGCCACTGAGGATTTGATATATATGCTTAATGGCTTGGGGCTCAACACAGTAAGTAATTTAACATATTTTAATATTCATGCATGCCTTGCAGATACAAAGGGGAATGTGTCTCAGATTTGGGAAGCAATTTTGAGGTCAAAGTTTTACTACACTTTTGCTATCTGCTAAAATGCACAGTGGGAAAACACAATAAAAACTCTTTAGGGGGCTTTATAAAGTAACTTATTGCTATAGCCCCATCACCAATAATGCTACCATGTCACATTTTTATGGTGCTTCATGACCTCCAAAGTACTTTTTCATGTATCATCTGATTTGATTTCACACACTGTGAGTCAGAGCCTGTGTCTTTGCTGTTAGGATTGTTATTTTTGCCGTTTTGTTTTGGATGGATGTTTTCCTAGGAGGAAATGGAGATCTTGATTTTCTTGCACTGACAACTAGGGCTTCTGGAAAAGGGCCTAGGGCACTATTGAAATGGTCAGGAAAAAGGAGAGCTTAACAGTACTTACGGCATGAGACACTGGACAACAAGAATAGTCTCTTTAAAAAAAAGTACCTGGAAAGTCACATCCTCTACAATATTCACCTAAATTACTGATTAGTTTTGCCACAGGCTTTTTTTTTTTACTTTATTTATTTTTGAAAGACAGAGAGACGGAGACACAGAATCTGAAGCAGGCTCTAGGCTCTGAGCTGTCAGCACAGAACCCGACGCGGGGCTAGAACTCACAAGTGGTGAGACCATGACCCGAGCTGAAGTCGGACACTTAACTGACTGAGCCACCCACCCAGGCATCCCACCACATGCTTGTTAACATTACTTGAAAGCATCATCTGGATTACAAAATGGAATGTTGCTCCTCTCTCTCGTCTTTTCTCTCTCCTCACACTACTTACATTAAAGGTCCTGCAGCACCATTTGCCACCACCACTTGGTTGGCCTTACTCCCCATACTCAATTTCACCTGAAGAGTGAAGTGCTACCATCTTCAAAAACTCTTCTAGTGTCTCCCTGCTTGATCCCCAGGTCCATACTGTTGGGTTCCTCACATTTGGGTTTCCACGCCAACCTGTGTGCTACTACCTCTGAACCTACCCTGAGGTTGTATAATGTATAATGTGTCTAGCTCCCCCTGCAGCCAGTGAATGATTATTATAACTGTTCCCTTTACACAGAGATGCTCCAGTGACATTTACTGGGTGATAGGTAATATCACCTGGGACTTAACACCAAAAGCCTGTCTTCCCTGGTTAGGAGAAACTCTTTCATTTACAAAATTCCCTAATCATGTCTAGTAAAAATGTATGGCCATGACTTAGATGACCAAATTGAACTTAGCTGATGCTTTCATGCTTATTATGTACCAGGTCATGTTCTAGACCTTGGGGGCTGAAATGCAAATAAGCTGTAGCTTCATTCAGAAGAATTCACAATTTAAGGAGAGGATTGTTACACTGGGTAGGAGTTGCAATTCAACCAGCTACCCAGCTAATAAGCCAAGCTTCTCTGTAGAATCCCGTGTCACCATGGCTCCCATGTCCAATCAATTACCAAGAGCCACTTGTAAGTTACTTTGGTTGTTTTCCTTAATACCCTTACTATGTCAGCACAATCCCTTATCTCTTTTCTGGGTATTCATCCTCTACACTGGTGTGCAGGCTTCTGACTTGCCTTTAAATCCATCTTCATGCTGCCATCAGAGGATTTCATCCAAAATACAAATGTGAATATGCTTGGTTTCTTCTCGAGCACCCAGAAGTGGGTTCTCATTTACTGAAAAGCAAAGTTGTGTTCTGTCACCTCATAGTGCCTAGTCCTAACTTTTCAAGTCATCTCTGCCTATCATCCTACATACATAGTATCCATTTTTTCAGGTACTTTGTACTGTTCTTCTGCCTGCAGTGCCCCACTGGTCCTCCTTCTCAAAGACTTATACTCCCCAGGTAACACTGAAGTCATGATTTACCCTTCCTGACACACTTTCCTGACACATTCCTCACTACTTTCTTATCCTCAGTGGGCTGACTAACCCACCCTCTGCCCTCGTAATCAGCTGGGCATTACTCTGTCAGTGTCTTTAATTATAATACAGGGTCCCCTCCCCCTTTCCTCAACAGGGCTCCATATTGCCTGCTTTACTGTAAACAACCTGAGGACAGAAACTTTATTCTCCATGAGGTTCTTGAAACCCCAGAACATATCATAGTACATGAGACCTATTTAAGCATCTGACAAATGACTCAATATTAAACATGCAATGTTATTTCATAATGGTCTCTGTTAAGTAAAATGAGAGAGAAAGGTCAAAATGAAATTTTTGGGTAAAATGTCAGCAAATTCCAGTACATACTTGTTATCAATGGAATTCTTGGGGAGCAAAGAAGACTGGTTATCTTTCTATTATTCCTTCCTGGGTGTAATTCAAAAATCAAAGACACATGTAGCTAATTATTCACAAAACTTAAATAGCACTGGATTTAGGATATCAACTAAGATGTGCCTAACATGTTCCACCTAAAGCCATTCTCAGGACGCGACCAATAAACTCAGACCAAAGCAAATGTTGGTACCCTAGAACAACTTTATAGCAAAATTAAAATGAAAATCATTTATAAGTGTCACTTTACAAAACATTTCTCTTGATCATTCCCCAAAAACAAAGAAGTAAACTACAAAGGAAACATTGCTCTACAAGTTTCTAGATAGAAATTGGTTGTATTAAAATGATGATCTCCTTATGAGTCTTGTTATGAGAAGGCCCTGTGAATATTTATGTTTGTCTATTTTAAGAAAATGATGGACTTGTACATAAATATTAATAATTACTTAATAGTGGGGTGCCTGGGTGGCTCAGTCAGTTGAGCGTCCGACTTTGGCTCGAGTCATGATCTCACAGTCCATGAGTTCGAGCCCCGTGTCAGGCTGTGTGCTTGAGCCTGCTTCGGATTCTGTGTCTCCCTCTCTCTCTGCCCCTCCCCTGCTCATGCTCTGTCTCTGTCTCAAAAAAAAATAAAAACAATTTAAAAAATTAAAAAAAAAAAAAGAATTACTTAATAGCACGAAAGCCTGAGTCTGTTCAAGTCCATACAGTTTCTAGTCCATGTTAAGGGAGGACTTGAGAGTTTATGAAATGCTACCTGAGGGCAACCTCTGGGTAATCTACCTAATTCTCTGTCTCCCCTAGTGACAGCAGAAGTGCTGGGTGGATACCTTGATAGGGACCTTTTGTTACACCAAGCCCAAGAGATGAGGGGTATGCCCTGAACTTGGCCTTTATACCCAACTGCCTATCTGTCATTCGTGGATTTATCTAAGCCTTTGTTGATCCTGTTTATGCTTTCAGCCAGTACAACCTCACAAACAAGTTCCAGATGTGTACTAAATACTACTTCATTTTATTTGACCTACAACTACTTCCTTCAATATCACACTGATAGTGTTTCTGAATATGGTTAAAATCATGCATTCACTTTTCTTCTATCTCCTATAGGTTGATCAAGTTTGTTTCTTTACATAGTAAAAAGATTTTCTTTCTTAAGTCCTTATCTATGAACTCCTCCAAACCATTCTAATTTTAATTGCCCTTTACTGGTATTTTGTACATCGTTTCTAGTTTTGTTACTGTCCTTCCTAGAGTTTAGGTACAACCTTGAATTACACTGAGGTCTTTCAGGTATGGCTAGTCTATGATTTTATAGAAAGGGCAGATTCAAGATATGCTTTATTAAAACATAAGAAACTAAAATGCTGACTGCAGGATTCATGGAGACAAATGTTGCCTTCAGATCAACAATGAACATTTTGTTTAATAATTTTCAAATTGTGAATTAACTACTAATAAACGGAAATCTGTTTTGTCTTCTTTCTCCCTAATCCAACTGGTCTCCCTTCTTTTCCTTATCAGGGTGTCAATATTTACAAAGTGATGGAAGCTGGTGACTTTATTTGCAAAGCTGTGAATAAAACCACAAACTCTAAAGTAGCACAAGCCTCCTTCAATGTTTGACTTGAATAAATTTGTGACTTAAGGCTGAGAAGATCCATTTCATCTACAGATACTCATCTGAAAATCATTACTATCAAGTTGTTCTGAAGTGTGAAGCAATAGACAAGAGTGGGGGAAAAAAGATATAATTTTGAAGTATATTACTGGACAAATTATGAAATCAGTGGAAAGCAATATCCAGTCATTGGTAAATTGGAAGCTGAAGTAAAACACTACAATTTGTAGATATGCTTTTGAACTTGGAGAAAAGTCTACTCTTTTGCTCCAATAGAAATAACTTTTTAATTTAGTAGATGTGAAAATTAACTTCAGGTTTCCCTAAGTATCAAATACTGTGTTAATACTTAATCAAGCTGGCTTAGCACAGTATACATATTGTCAGTGGTTTATGAGCTTCTGCGTAGTGTGCAAAGTGTGTGGCCTCAGTCCTATGCGTTATGCCTCTGGATCTCAACTTTCCATTTGCCAAGTCAGTTAAATTATGAACCAAGCGCCAAATCTCCATCTGACCGTACATAATTTTTAGCAATAGAACTTTTATATTTCAAGTATGGCTAACATCTGTTAACTATTTCAGCGACTTTATCTTGTTCCAAGAGGCTGTGGTCAATGGCAAGATGCCATATGCTGGAAACATTACGACCTCCCATGTTTGTGATATGCATCCAGTTTACCATACGTTCTCTTTCATCAAGTTTAGTAAAAACAAGCATGGTATTACTCAACTATTGAAAAATATAAGGTTCAACTGTCATCTCAGTGTCTCAGCTGCAGTGATAAGAACAGATTGATACATAGAGTATAATCCACTTTGGTAATTTTCAAATCACATTCAAATTGCCAGAGGAAATGTCACTATGATCCTAAGAATAGTAAGGCAGTTTTTAATTCGTGAAACAAAATAAAACTGTTTTCATTGATTCCAGGTACTTTGATTAAATGTGATCACTTTTGGTTGACTTTATGGTTATTTTTAATGTTGAAATGGCTGAAATTTTATCTTTTGCAATAGAAAACATTGCCAGGAAAAGCAAAAGTTAATATGTCAAAGTGGAGAGGAGGAGCAGAAAGACTATGTTAAGAAAAAGCATTTCTGTAACCTATGCAAATCATATGGGGACAGAATTATTAAATGCGGGTCTGAATCATCAGTTCTATTTATGTAGTCTTCTCCAGTAATACTTGGTGATCTTATCTTTGAATAAATTTTAATATAACTTTAAATATGAAAGTGAGCACTGTGGACTTTCTATAAATATTCATCACAACTATTGAAATAAAAAATTTTAAAAAATACGAGAACTATTGATTACAACTAACTTAACTTTAAATATATTCGTAATAAAAGTCTCAAGGGAAACATATTGGTAATTGACAAAACCAAACTAAATTCCCAAGAAGAAGCCAGCTTATTAGGTTGAGATGGGTATTAGAGCAGAAGCCTGTCATCTAGAGTGCTAACTCTTTGCATTTGGATTAGTGTTGGCAAGGAGGTAATGCAGGGGCAAACAGAATCACAGAACTTCATGGACCTGCCTGCTACGTCTCCCTTATGTCTCCCTCTTCACAGAGAACACAGCCCTGTGCAGTGGGGCAGTAATGGGACACCTGCCCTAGTGTGCGCAGCTGGCAATGTACCCCATGTTCTAAAGACTGAATTTTCCTCTCTTCTAGAACTGTGGAGTTCTTAGTTATGAGATATCCGGAAACCGATCTTTTGGTACAAACTGCTTATAGAAACAGCCAGGATCAAAACTTTGCTGTTTTGAAACACAAACCATACAGTCTTCAAGTAATCGGAAAGTAAGCAGAGCAAGTAATCGGAAACCCCAGGTGCAGCTTAGCACACACTTAAACAGCGCAAATATCAATCTACAGATTCAGTTCCGAGAATCCTTCAATGTTTCCTATTCACACTCACAAGAAGGTCCATGTTTTAGTTATTTGTTATCCTTTCCCCACCCAAACCGTATAAACCTTTCTGCTGAATTAGAGTTTTATTTCTGATTTGTGGTGAAAAACTCAATTAAGCACATAAAGCTACCTGAAGTCCATAGGCAGAATCCCACCAAAACCATATTTCAACTAACCGGGAAACCCTGGAATCATTGTAGGACCCACCCAAACAACCTGCACAGAAACCCATGTCAGAGTTAGCCATGGGGAAAGTCTTTAGAATGGCAAAGAAATTATGACCTTTATTGAAATACTTATCAAAATAATCTTGTGGAATCTGCCCTTAAGGAAAATATCCTGTGTTCTAGAATATGTAACATATTTTATCACATGTATATGTTGATGACCTATTATAGATGGAAACTAAGATGAAGTCCTCTGAAAGCTACAAATTTTCTAAGTTCCAGATTCATGAAATTCACAAAGCAAATAAACAGGAAACTGACTGACTTTCTGAAAAAATTCAACTTGCCCTTTTATGTTATTTATTCTGATTAACATTTAGCTGGACTTACATGGCTATTCATTTCTATATATGTGCATCTTATGACTCCGAAATGATCAACTCCAGGTATGAGAGTGACAAGTTGCACAACATTGAATAAGTTAGCCACAAATATCATCCCTATCAGAATTGTCAAGAAGAGATAAAAGTAAGGCCTGGGCGCCAGCCAGAAATCTAAATTGAAGTAACAGCCAAGTGAAGAATTTCTGTGAATACCAATAATCATTTACAAATTGCTTTTGTAGACTAGAAGATAGAAGTTTTGTAGATGTGGGGTAGATCGAGAAATTAAAATAATAGTTTTGGAGACAGAAAAAGGGAGGAAGAGATTGGGCAAGAGAGAGAGGAAAGGAGGAGAGGTTCAGAAATGGAGGGAATAAAGGTGGAAGAAAAGGGAAGGAGAGGGGGTTAAGAAACTATTGTCTGTCTTGAACAGCTCTAATAGAAAGCACATTCTGCTATGGTGGAGTCCATCAGCGAGGCTGCTATAAATTGCACATAATAAAAAGCCTTTACTCAGTAGGCTTATGCAACAAAACTTCTCTCCAATATTTTAGAAATATTGCTTTTTCACCATCATATAGTTGAGTCGCTCAATTATGTTATAAGCAAAAGTTTGTCTCCACTTTCCTCTTTTCTTGTCTCAAGGTATTGGTTCACGTTCAGGCTACTGCTCCTCAGGGTCACAAGATGGTCAGTATACTTCCCAGCCTCACATCCCACACAGTGCTCAGCCACTGTGGAGGGTTTTGTTGTGAATGTGGTTTTGTTTTGTTGTTTTTTTTAATCAATGAAGACTTTTTTCCCACCCCTATCCCAAACTTCTCATGTTTCACTGGGAATAACTTCATTACATGTTCCTTCCTTAAAGGTAAGGTGAGAGGGGAATAAGCCATTAGAATAGACCAACTATGGTCACTGATCACCTTTAACAGATCAGTGAAATAGTGGGGGAAAAAAAACCTGATGCAGAGCACATTTTATGGTGAAATGATAGGGGAGTTGAGGCTAATGAGTTAACAAGCATAAGGAAGGACCATATTTACCTCCTCTCATGAGCAAAGGATGGAAACAAAAGTTTTGAAAGTTGAAGGGTATGGGTTTTAAGGGGGAAAGTAGCTGATCCTGCTAATTTTTTTTAATGAATACAGGAAGTGAGGTCTTCAGACATTAGTTGGGGGTGGAGTGAGGGCTGGAGAAGAATGGTAAAGCTTGAAACTCACCTAGAGCAGTAGTACAATTTAACTTAGTCTATCCAACTTTTCCAGGGGCTGTTATATGCTCATTGCAAGTATGTATCCTCATGCTATGTTTACCACTTCATTTGACACTCCCACCTACTGGAAGCCCATCCTGGTTTCTGGGGACCACTCCATGCACCTCCCACTATCTCTCTGGTCCCATGTCCTCCACCTCAAAATTTTTGGTCTCTTCCTTGTGTCCTATTTGACTCACATACAAATTTGCCTACATCCCCACCAGTCAAAATGTGTTCCACTGCCAGCAGGGTTATCATTGCTTGGGACTTTTTGAGAAATGCACGATCTCAGGCTCTATCCCAGGCCAAAATCCTCACAGGACTCATATGCTCACTGAAGAGAAGCACTTGCCTGTTGATACCTCCTCTTGGGTGTCTAATGGGCATTGGAAGCTTTTGTTTTTTTAATTTTTTAATTTATTTTGAGAGAGACAGAGATAGCATGAGCAGGGGAAGGATAGAAAGAGAGGGAGAGAGAGAATATCCCAAGCAGGCTCCACATGGTCAGCACAGCGCCTGATGTGGGGCTCCACCTCAGAAAACTTTGAGATCACGACCTAACCCAAAACTGACAGCTGGATGCTTAACCAACTGAGCCACTCAGACACCCCTGAAGCTTTGTGTATTCAAAATACCTGTGCCACTTACCCCTCCTGCATTGTGCTATGGCCCAATGTCTTTGCTCCTTGAAAAGGCAAGATTCAGACCCACCTCAGACGCTTTATTTTAGTTATTCTTTCTGCCTGTAATGCTCTTTTCCTGGCTCCTTCTTGTCATTCAGATTCAGCATCAATATCACCTCTGTAGTAAGTCTTTGTGGAAAACCCAATTTAAGGAAAGGCCTCGATTACTTTCTCTCACATTAACTTGTTGAACTTTTATTATAAAATTTTTGTTTATTTAGTTGTTTATGATCTTTCTTTCCCCAATAAAATATATGCTCCATGAGAACAAGGGCTTTGTTACCCTCTTTAATTTTACTTCCTTAGTGCCCAGAACACACTGCTCAGGCCTGACACAATAGATGTCTAGTAAATGTTAGTTAGAAGGAAAAATAAAAATAGGAAGTAATTTAAATCAAATATTTAATAATTTAATCAAAGGAACCATTCTATGTGAAGTCTGCCTGTTAAATATATTTAATTTTTCCCTGAGCCCTTAGTCATTCTTTAGGATTTGTCTCCTAGTAGTTTGACAGCAAATCCTATTCAATACTTAAAATCTATGTTGAATGATTGCACTAAGGAATGGAAACATATATACATCAAGAAGGTTATGAAA